GGAGCCGGGGTCCCGGGGCGGGGGGCGGCGTGGGGCTGGCGCCTGGTCCTCAGTTGGGGGACAGGTCCCCGGCTCTACCAAATGCCGCTCGACCGGCCTCCGGGGGGAGCGAGAATCCGGGCCGAAGCTCGCTTTGGAACGTGGTCATCGATCTGAGAACCTGCCGGACAGACGGACGGACGGGCATGAGGGCCGCCGGCGCTGGGGCAAGAGCGCGATGGTCTCCCTGGCACCCCCACGGGGTCCCGGCTCCCAGCCCTCCGCCAGCACCGTGGGGACGGCGGGCGCTCCGCGTCCCGCAGCCCCGCTCCCGCCTCGGCTGCGCCGCACGCGGTGGGCGAGTACCGGTGCCTCGTGCCGCACCGGCGGGAGCACCGAGTGGGCTGCCGGCAGGGAGCATCGCCCGAGGTTGCCAGCCCTGGCCCAGCCAGCGCTGAGCCACAGTGAGCGTGGGCAGCACGGAGCGCCGCAGCCGAGGACGTGGGACGCAGCCAGCCCCGCTCCTGGCCGAGCGTGGCGCGTGGCTCGGTCCTGTCCGGCGCAGGGCAGTGCCACGGTGGCTGGAGGGTGGGATGGCGGGTGCCAGCCGGAGCCGCGGGGATGCCCCCCATCCCTCCGGTCCCACTCCCACGGACACAGGCGCCTACCGGGGCCAAACACAATGCGTGCACCGGCTCAGTCCTGCCTGCCCTGGCCCCCCTGCCCGGCCCGGACCCCCGCCAGGCGCAGCCACGTGACGGACGGTGCACGGAGGGGACAGGCGAGGGCTGGAGGGGCTGTGGGCCTGGGGATGGGGTCAGCGCCCTACTCTGCCGCGGGAACGCTGGGGAAGGGGGGCTGCACCCTGGGATAGACCTCAAGAGGTTCACATGCGCTCACCCTCCCCGGTTCCTGGGGATGCCAGCCCCCCCTCCAGTGAATCAACCGCACCACACAGCTCAGTGTGCTTTGCAGACCTGCTGAGGGTGCACACAACCCCACTATGTCGTTAATGAAGACACTGAACAGTACCGGTCCCAGCACGGACCCCTGAGGGACACCACTCATCACCGATCTCCATTTGGACATTGGGTCGTTCGTTGACTGCAGCTCTTTGGAGGTGGCCATCCAGCCAGCTCCTTATCCACCAAACCGGACTCTCTCCAATTTAGTGACAAGGACGTTGTGCAAGACTGCGTCAAAAGCCTTACAGCAGTCAAGACAGACGACAGCGGCTGCTCCTCCCTCATGCACCAGCAGGGCCCCTCCGTCGCAGAAGGCCGCCAGGTCAGGCACGATTTGCCCTTGGGGAGCCGCGCTGGCTGTCCCGCATCACCTCCCTGCCACCCCTAGGCCTTGACAGAGCTTCCAGGAGGATCTGCTCCGTGCGCTGACTGGGCAGAGGTGAGGCTGCCCGGTCGCTGGCTCCCAGCGTCCCCCCGTATAAAAATGGGGGTGATGTTTCCCTTTTTCCAGTCACCGGGGACTCCCCCGACTGCCACCGCTGCTCAAACGCGATCGAGAGTGGCTGGTGTCCCCTGGGTAGCGGGGTGCTGGGGGCCTGGGGACGGCGGAGGTGGTGCTGGGGACCGGTGAGGCAGGGCTGCGCTGGCCCAGGGGCCCATCGAGGGGGGGGCCCACCCGACCCGCCGCAGAACCCCCTCCCCGCCCCG